AGTGGGAGGCCTAGACAACCACGAATGGTGCAAGTTGAGGAAGAACTACTGAATCGCGTAGACGAGAATCCCTCAACAAGCACTAGAGACGTGGCTAGAGAAGTGCAAGTATCAAAATCTAAAGTGTGGCAAACGCTGCGTGAAGAGGGGCTGTATCCGTTTCACGTCCAACGTGTACAAGCCCTTCAACCTGACGATTTTCCAGCAAGAGTGCGGTTTTGTGAGTGGTTGTTGCATCAACATGACAATAATCCGGACTTTTTGAAGTGCATATTGGTGACAGACGAATCTACGTTCACGCGTAATGGGGTGGATAACTTTCGCAACACTCATGTTTAGTCAGTAGAAAATCCGCACGCTGTCCGTCGGGCACATTTTCAACAAACATTTTCGGTGAATGTTTGGACTGGCATGGTGAACGGTATGCTCATTGGACCATTTATTCTCCCAAATCGATTGGATGGGATGCAATACCTGGACTTTTTACCCAACATTTTGCCTTCCTTGTTAGAAGATGTGCCATTAAGTGTAAGACAATCAATGTGGTTTCTGCACGATGGTGCACCGCCCCATTTTAGACGCAAAGCGCGTGAGTTTTTGAATGATTTACTTCCGAATAGGTGGATCGGACGTAATGGACCCGTAGCGTGGCCTCCGCAATCTCCAGACTTAACACCATGTGATTTTTTTCTTTGGGGAGAAATGAAACGCTTAGTGTACAAAGCTGAAGTGCATACGGTTGACGAACTTCGTCTCAGAATTGAACAAGCTGGTGCTTTCATTCGGGGGAGGGACTCCATTCTCAAAGCCTGCATCGATGCTTGGCTACGTCGTGCACGCACCTGTGGTTTTGAATCAAACGGCGGTAACTTCGAACAGTACCTATAAAGTACGTTTACCTAAAAACTGAAAACGCGGCAACGCCGTCATATTTGTTACCTCTGTTCGTGGTCTGCACCACCGCCTGCGTCTGCTCGGTAGCGCATCAGCTGATTTCATTTTCTGTTGGAGCTGTATGATTTCGGGCAGAGACGTACTTAGCCCTTCTCGTCAACTGGAGAGTGAGTACTTTTTCCTTTATTTTTGTTTTACTTGGTCGCCCTCGTTTCACTACACATTACCTTTGTTATTTCAAGGGTAGTTGTTTCTGAAAAGGACAACCCCAACTTTGCGGACACCCTGTATATAACATTTGGACACTGCTTTAGAACCATTAAATAGCGATATTGAAAAAATTATGAGTTGGTTGAATGTCAATAACTTAAATTAAACACTAATAAAACATAATGTATGTCAATAGGGAAACGTTTATGTGACAATACAATTAGGCTCATGATTAATGATGAAAAAATTGAAGTAGTCGAGTCTTTTAAATATCTTAGTATATATGTGGATAGTAAGCTACTGTTTCACGAACATTATGAATGCATTATTTCAAAAATATCGAAAAAGATAAATTACTTCCATAGAGTTTCCCATAATCTTAGTATGTACTACAAACAAATTGTGTATAACACTATAATTCTTCCTCATTTTTTATATTGTTCAACCATCTTGTATACAGCAAATGAAAACATCTTTTCAAAATTATAAATTCTACAAAATAAAGCTATGAGAATCATTTCAAATAAAAACAAATATGCTAGGATTAAGTCTATGTTAGAAGAACTGCAGTGGTTGGATGTGAAAAATTTCATATTTAGTTCTCGTTTTCTTAGTCAAATTAAAAAATCATTCATTACCACCACATTTAGAGAACTTCACAAAATTAAATAGTCATTATCATAACTACGAAAGTAGAGGCAGTATAGATTTTCATCTGCAAAATTGTAATAGTAGCATACTAGTAAATATATATTTGAAAATGATATTAAACAGAGTTCGAATTTAAAAATGTTTAAGGTGAAATTAAAAAATCACTTTATGACTAATTAAAATATATAGTGACGTAATTTTAATTATAATAGACAATAATGTAAAATTACAAAAAATGGATTGAAGAAAAATATGTAACCGAATCATTTTACAAAATTGACATTGAAGCATTAATGCTGTATAAATCTTCAACAACAACAACAAAAAAAGATTTGTTTTCTACCTCAAAACGATTTTTTACAATTTTTATGCTCACTTTCGGCTTCAGCGCCCCATTTAATAAACAAAATTTCTCTTGCCTTTAACTAGGAGAAACGAAAATAGAAAATTTGCATCACAAAATCATATATACATTGTTTTGGTTAGCTATGAGAGTACTTCAAAAAAATGTTTGTTTCTGAAGTTATATTCGTTCAAAACAAAAAATTACCGCTCCGTTCCACAGAACTAAATTTTATGAAAGATCATTTACGTATAATATATATAAGCTGTACAATCCTATCCCCCAGTACCTCAAATCATATGAAATTCATAAGTTCAAAGCGGTTTTGCGTGATTCCTACCTTGAATGTATAAAGTAGAATTTTTCTTACTGCTGCTTCGGAATTTCAATATTATTTTGTTTGCATTCCATTATTATGTTTATATTTTTTTTCAAATGATGCACAATGTGCGTATATGTATTCATATATCATTCTAGACTTTTAAATTCACCACCACGTTTTCAATTTGCTCTTTTTTTTCAAACTTAATTGTCGTTCATATTGGCGTATATATAATATATATATATATATATATATATATATATATTATTCTAGACTTTCTTTTTTTTTAATTTACTACCACGTTTCTCACTTTTCTATCTTAATTTTAAAAACTTACATGCTGTTCATATTGATGTTTGTATATGCTTGATAGATGTATTTACTGGCATAATGTTTCTTACAATTTCAAGGGATGAGTGGAAGAGCACCAGATAGTGAACTCCCCCTTGTGGTTTTCAGGCAGTCGACATTTGTTTTATTTATTTTTTATTTTCCTTTTTTTTGTTAATAGTCATGTTTCTCTTTCTGATATTTTTTTTTTGATAACTGTTTGGAAATAAAGGCATTTATTATTATTATTACTATTATTATTATATACTATATGTTTGATTTACTTGTACTTAAGGGTCGTCAATTTCTTGTTTTAACTAGCGTAATTTCCGTTTTACACCATCAAACTAATTCACGAATAAACTGTAAAAATTATACAATACATGATCAAATTCAAGCCAAGCATACCAACACTTATAGTGACCTTCTATGATACCAACCTTAGGGAAAAAATACCAAAACATAACCTATGTATAATGAACCTAATCAATAAAAAAGATAACAGTATACTTGTTTTTGTTGAAATATCGAATCCTAAGTTAAAATTAAACCGTCAAGCCAAACTGTATCGATTATAATTTTAAACTCAAATTACAAAACGTAAACGCGCCAAATAACGAGGGTTTATATTTAAGATAAAAGACCAAAGGTAATTAGAATTCTCCAAAAAATTTACGAAAAATTAGAACAAGCTCTAATGTGGTCATTTATCTATGAATTCATTGTTTTGAAGAAATTAACCAAAATTTTTAAGCTCACACGCTCCAACTTCATTGAAGTCATAAAATTGCTCAATTTGTTGGTTCGTGTAAAGCGACTATAAAGTTGACCAATAACAGTGGATCGCTATACTTTTAACAATAACAAAAAGGTATGTACTACCATAACCTAATCACAGCTTTAAATGACGTAAAACTGCCAACAATCGCCTAAAACAAACATCCCCTAAAATATTCTCTTTGGAAAGGATTTTCTGGTTTTATAGACCATTCTCATTGATCCTTCTTTGGTAGGTCACATAAAAACAAAGGCATTATACATGGATTACCGATATTTAAGGGGTGACGCCTTGTTGATCTTTTGATGTCTTTATGGGGGCTGATATGATTATGCGATCGGGTCAAATACGGGGGTTTATCCAGAAATAAAGATCCCAAAGAACTCCAGCCAACTTGAAGGTGCTAACCAGGCAACACCAACGAATTGGGACTAGGTTAGAAGGAACCAAGCCCATATGATATTAAACGATTGTTTGTTAACAACATAAACAGATTATTGTTTACACAAAATTTGACCTTGAGGGAAAATTGTATGCTTTTAAACTGCTTTTTACATAACATGCAACACTTCACCATCTTCGACAATAGTCCAAAGTACTATATATTCCACTGAAATGTTTCAGAATCCTCAAAACTCCGTGATAGTATCACGGAAAGCACACGTAAACATAACAACATGAGCAAAATAAGGCTTCCCCTCAATTGCACAAAGCCGCAGCATAAAGCACCAGAAATCAGCTCAGCTGTTCTTGATGTGCCACCACAGCGTTGCCACGTTTAGTACACAAATATTAGTTTTTTTGAAATGCTGAGGTCGAAACCAGAGTCAGAATAGCTCAAGATGTTTTCGGAAATGTCTGCGATGTTTTTTTTGAAAGGTTATTTGTTTTAATTTTTCCCTGAAGTTGGTAGGTTTGGAAGCTATGATGACACTGCATCAGTTAGTGGAAACATTATAATATGAAATATATTAGGGTACTGAAACCAAAGACTTTCTTTTCGGTGCAGGTGTTACAAACAGTTTATAACTGTAAATACGCATGAGTTGTCCTATTTGAAAATACAACATATTGGAGACAAATTAATACTCTTTATTTAGTTATCACCACGTGTATCATTTTACGAGTATTATTTTTGTGTGTCGCTCTAGATGATTGATAAAAACAAATCCTTTGTTTGCGTCTTCTACCCGTATTCGAATTCGTTGGGCGACACCGCTGCATGCCACTGTTCCCCCATTTTTGATTCCCTGTCATCCACTCCGTTCTTCATCGTAGACTTCCTTCCGATCGGCACTGACGGAAGTATTGAATGGATGTACACTTGTCGGCATTCCTGCACCTCTCTCAACTAACGGTGGCGTCCCTTTGGCGCGCAAAAAACGAGTTATGGGACGAATCTCTCACTTGGTGGGATCAAAAATGGAAAGTTTCATGTTGGACGGTTGTTGAGCCAAGAAGCCATCATAGCGATGCGCGGCCAGAGAGAATCAAGAGAAAAGAAACAGCCCAGTGCAGCGGTGCTGCAATACCTTCCAGTATGGTTGGAGCTCTTTGAGAACATTCTTTCTGGATCAACCTTCGTAAAAGCATTCTTTGGTATGTACCAAATGAGATGGCACAAAGTATTTGTTGATAAGTAGGATCATAAAAGCTATGATAAATGGTTAAAGCTACGTATGACTAAAACTTGAGCCTTGCTGGGCGGATACAGTAACAGAAAACGTACACTGAGGTTTTTTTTTACTCTCGGCAATACTGCATTGACTGCGTTGAGGCTTTCATTAATTTTTGATATTTCTTGGTTCTTTAAACATCTATTTGCTGAATCAGCACCAGGTAGATACGCGGCCTACACTTCATACTCCTAAAAATTAAAAAAATCACTTTTCAGAATAATAACTAATTCTAGAAAAGAACATTTGTTATTCCATAACAAACTATGTCAGTACCAACTGTTGAATGACCTCCCTACAGGTCAAGTTTTTGTGACTTTTCACCCTTCCACTTCACCTAGTGACAACCAACTCTTTTGGATGCCAATGTCTTAAATCCTTGATATTAAACCGCATGCAAATCCTTATTATTTAAGATCTGTGGTACTTCAAAGCTTTCAAAGCTTTACATCCTATATTAGCCCCAACAGCCGTCCTAAAGCAATAAAATCACAGGAAATAATATCTATGAAGCCCAAAGGGAGTAATGAGATAGTAACCCCCTATTCGTTGACCGCTGTTGAGTTCGTTTCATTTTTATCATACGAGGATGTAAGAAAGTCAATTCATATAAAACCTTACCGACCGTAAGTAATATCATTGATTAACGTATTCTACCTGAAGATGTCCAACCTAATGCTATATTCCCGCGTCCAAAAAGGTATCGAAGGTAAAATGAGACACTGATCTATGAGAATTGCAGCCGTAACGCAATCGAAAATCAGGCTAGAAAGAAAGTTTTTTCTGTGTACATATCTCGCTTTCAAGAATATTTATACTCTGCTTCACGAAATTCTTCATAAATATTGAACGAAGTACAATATTCATTACAATATTAATAAAAAACTACTTCACGGCAAGCAATCTCAAAAACAGAAAAACATCAGAAAACATCAAAGCAACAACTTCACAGGATACAAAAGTGATCATTGGTGAAATTCATTAATAAAGTTTGTATACACTTATTAAGTAAAATTCGTACTTATCGATGCATACATTATTACGATCAAACATGGCTGCGCATTTTGTCTCATTGCCAACATTGCATATGATCATACTCTTTCTTTTTATCCTTTCCTAAAATTACAATTGTTACAGAACTGTACCACGTCCATGCCGGCTAGGGCAACCCAAATGGTTCTTTTTAATAATTACTCCATCGATTAGTATGGATTTTACTTAGATAAGTTTTTGAAAACTTCATTAATGAACCTTAGCAATGATCAGTTTTCCATATTGTGACCTGTAAAGTTGTTGCTTTCATGTTTTATGATGTTTTTCTCTGTTTTTAATATTGCTTTTCGTGAAACACGATGTACCGTTTTTTGTTAATATTGTAGTTCATTATTTTTGTATCCTTTCTTGGAGAAAAAAATGAAGATCTTCAAAAGCTTGATATGAACACATTATAAACTTTCTTCTTGGCCGTCTGATTTTCGATTGCGTCCACCTCCTCGTCCTCCCGTAAAGACTTCCTAGAATAACTAATATGATTGACCTTGGCATTAAAATGTTCAGTGCCTCATGTCTCTATTCACTGTGTTTAGCACTAAGAACCTGTCGAGGGTCCTTTCTCTGGGGGCATACGTAAATTGTAAAAAAATCAAATGGAACGAAAAAACTCTTTAATAGAAACATATGTGGTTGTGGATACTCGTATCAGCTGCTGTATACTGATATGAATTTAAGTAACGCTTCCCCGATAGCATTAAATATTTACTAAGTTTTTTTTAAAATGTTTGATAAATATTTTTAGCGACAGATTTTTTAATATTTAGTAAATATATTTCTTATATATTTATAAAATATTCATTATAGATGTTTGTAGTATATATAATTCATATATTTTTGCGATATTTTTTCCAAATATTTAGAAAATATATGAGGAAATATTTTTAAATATCAATTTTATATTTTGATGAAACATCTAATATTTTTTGTAAATATACTAAGTGACATATAAATCCGAACACCCAGTTTAAATGGTTTTATTTTAATAAAAGTTGGTGAATGTATTTATCTTACTGTAAATAACAAGTGAAAAAATTTTCAGGCTTATCAGTTGGACATTCCGGTTTTTATACTGCTTTTTTTTAATTCACTAACGCTCTAAAAATGAATATTTCAGCCGCAGTAAAGAATCAATAATGGCGGATTTTGGTTCTTTACATCCTTTACGATCGGTTACGATGCCTAGAGTACGGAGACCTGGGTTAGAAGGCGACGTGGTGAAAGGAGGAATCCACAGTTTTTTGTTGAAAGACATGTTCATCACACTGCTGGAGTTATGGTTTGTGGTGCTATAGCTTATGGTTCCAGGTCACCCTTAATCTTCATCAGAGGTAAGATGAACGCGCAGCGTTATATCCACGAAGTTCTAGAACCCCATCTTTTACCTTATCTTGACACCCTGGCAGATCCAACTTTCCAACAAGATAATGCCCGACCACATGTTGCAAGAGTCACAATAGACTTCTTTCAACATAATGATGTCACATTGTTACCATGGCCACCAAGATCTCCCGACTTATCCCCAATTGAGCACGTGTGGGATATGATGGGTAGGAGATTGCTCAATTTGCAACGTCCTCCTCAGACTCTAGAAGCACTTCGAGAGGAGTTGGTGGTTGCCTGGAATGAGATACCACAGGAGGACATTGACCACCTGATCAGAAGCATGCCTAGGCGCGTTGGAGGATGCGTAGCACATCAGGGTGCATCCACATATTATTAAAGGTCAAAGGGCTTTAAAGCAGTGCAATCATTTTGAAATTTTTATCATTTACTTATTATGCTTCATTAAGTACTTATACAAAATTTTATTAAAATAAAACCATTTAAACTGGGTGTTCGGATTTATATGTCACTTAGTATATGTATGGATTTTCAAGTATTAATCTGATACATATTTTCAGTGTAGGTAGCAAATTCTTCATTGGTCATAGGAATGCTTTTATAAAATTGGGTGTATAAAGAAAATTCGTTCTGGATATAATGGTTTCATTTGCTGGAAAAATATTATCAAAAAAACATTCTAAGCCTCTTCTGCATCTTGCAAGTCCGCTCCTCTAAAAAAAAAATAATAATTATGAAGTATTGTTGAATACATAAGCTGCTTTCCAGTGTATTTATTGGTGCTGAGCATGGCGAGTTACTCCGAGTAGCTCAACTGGGTCACTGAAAAGCAGCTCTATAATGTACCTAAAAGGTCCCCACATGTTATACCTATGATAGTTCGAGATTTGGTTAATTTTTAAGAAAATTTAGTATGTGATTTTAAATATCTTGTTGAAAAATGACCTTTGACTAACATTTATTGATTTTGTTGAAATGTGACTTTTTTTAGTAGTACACTTTAAGGCTAGTTATTTATGGTCTTATGAATATCTTTATACTCAGCTGGCACAATAATGTTTACTAGTCAGATAAATTAAGCTATGTAATTATCGAAAAACTTTCCCTTTGCCACAAAAAAAACACTCAAAAAATGAATCCCACAGGAAGCACGCTATCATAGTGAAAATCACAGGTGAAATGGCTGCCGGGTCATCTCAGGCCGACTTGCTATTATCCCATTGGTCGCTCGAGGTCACACGCACATGCGCCGTAGCCGAATATTTAATGAATATTTTCTAAAAATTGGAGGTTTAATATTTTCCATTGATTTAAAAGTAAATATTTAATTAATATTATAAGAGAAATATTGTATTTAAAATACTTAAAAGATATTGAATAAATATTTAATTAAAATAATATATTACAAATATTTATTAAATATTATTAAATATTAAATAAATATTTAATGAATGTTTCGAGCTATTGGAGTTACTGGTAGAAGCATACTATGATTGGGCACCCTACCGTTGTATTTTTTTATCATTATAAAGACTTTTATTTAACTATGTTGAGTTAACAAGTTGAGTCATTAATTTTCAGATAATGATTGTAGAAGGAAGATAAACCAAAATATGTGTGTAAAAATAAAAAAAAATTAAAAAAAAATTACTTTGTTTCAGTGCGGACCTGTATTTGATCGTGCGGTCTTGGAGCACCGGCATACTCTCCCCTGTGAGGTCTTAAGTCACCTGATTCACGAGCCCTTTGTACTACATTAACAAAGGCACGAGAGGTTGGTTGCACTCGATTGGGAAACCGATCCGCATAAATCCGTGATGCCGCGGCAGCATTTTGTAAAGACTCCCCCCCGTAAATAAGAATCATGTCCACAAGTTCAGCATCTTCGTAAACATGTGCCATTTTTTATTTCGTTTGAGCCACGCAACAAACACCACTATTCACTCACGCGTTACCGACTGACACATTGACTGAATACAACTGAATAAAATTGTAGTAAAAACATCGTGATAAGCGTTTCAAATTCTTTCGCTTTTTTGTTTCCGATGCGATGAACCGATAAGGCGGATTATATCCGTTGTTGCCAAACACGAGCAGATAATATTATTATTGAGACAGGGCGGTACTCAAACTTCTAAAGGGCTATAACTTTGTTACTTTAATTTTACCAGAAAAATGTTAAAGGAAAAAAACATTTCTTTTGATCAGATCTACTCACTGTTAAAATAAATGACTCAACTTCGAAGTCACCCTGTATATTTCTGTTTACAGGTAAATTCTGTTTAATCTTATTTACCCCCTGTGAAAACAAACATCAGCTCACGTTCTTCATATTCTCACCCTTTTATTGGTCACAAATGCTTGGACACGCTTGGACGGCTATGGAAGTGGCAATTGGGTGCTTGTTTTCATGCGGTCATAAATGGAGTTTGAATTGATTTAACAAAGTAGAGAGGATAAACAAGCCATATAAAATAATTTTGATTATACTAGATTAATTCAGTTTCCCGTAACACCTAATAGGTATTT